ATACAGTTTATGCTTCTTTCTGGCTTTTACAAAAATGCAGGGATACCGCACTTATTTCGGTACAATATGATCGTAATGTATTTTCAATTCGAAATCAAACAAAAACATCCCACGAAAATGTTTGCGATTTTAGAACCATTAGTGAATATTTGCAAACTACTGCAAATAATACAGTGCCATATCTTACAAAGTTCAGAGTATTAACGAAACAAACAAGCATTTTATGGCTTCATGTTTCCTTCAAACCGCATTGTTATTTTTTCTAACTTTTCCTTTTGTTTAGCGCTGTAACCTATTAAGTTATATCTTTTAATTTATACATGTGAACTATTTTCAATGAGCATTTTTTCATTTGCTCCAGAATTTTGGGTACATTTTCTAATAGTACCTCTCATTCTTTTTTATATTACATATATAAACTCCGAAGTTCGGGATAGTATTTTGAATATACCAGCAATATATGTAAAAGTAGTGCCGGCTGCTGTAGAGCATTACGCAGAGCCTGAGTTCAAGCCCAGTTTTTCTAATAGTGGTTGCCCCTCTGTTGGTAATAGTAAACCTCCGAGTGTATTCCGTCATGGAAACAACTTCTCATTAAAATACAATTGCCGTTCGGAGTCGGCGTAAAACTGTCCTTTACTTTGTGTGACAAAATCACGCACGCCGCATATCGGAGGAGAAGCTAGGCCAAACACTAACATATTGTTCAAGCGATATACATATTCGTCGTTTAAAGTACAAAAGCGCGTATCGTTGTTCTGCAAAACCTCGGAACAGAAATTTGTGCCAAAAAAGATATTTGGTCATCGGAAGCTCCTTACATCAAGCCCTTAGCCATTTATAATAAAATATCGATATAATAAAATATCGACTTAGACATAAGGAGAGAAGATTATTAAGTTTAAAAGATAGAACCGTTTTTAAAATTTAGGCAACCTCCCATACGAGGTTTTACATTTCCTTTATGCGCGGTTTTGTGCTTTAAACGAAGATATGTAGAAGTATTGCATACATATTTTGGTGCCCATTCAAGTATAAAATCCACTGAGAAACGGAAGAAAACGGCATCCCTATGATTTCAACTTATGCCAAACGTTTCGTAAACAAGCAATTCTGAACA